AAGTTAGGGTAATGAAGGGCTGAAAACAGTTCAATGTTTTGCTGTGATGACGATTTATTTGCTTCCTCGGCACAAAAAGGGGATAAAAAACAACAAAGAAAAACTGGAAAACCTCAGAATTGGACAAATTGTTACTCTTTACATCTGTATAGGAATGAACATCTCCCCTAGAAGATTCACTCCCGACTGTGATCTATCCGGTAAGGCTTGATTCCCAGTGATTAATGCAGACTAACAAACCGAGGTATCTCACCTAGAACATCAGTCATCTTCTCGGTGACGGCTCTAGAGGCTCTGACGAGCGCGTTCTCACTCTCATCGTACTTCATCTTCATGTCAAAGAACCCTGCGGTGGACACAGAATGAGAGCACGTTAACACACAACTCTGGTTTCACAGCAGAATTATTGTGTTGTTGGCTCGCAGACGTTGAACAGCGGAGTTGAAAGAATGGAAAGCAGAAAAACCATTATCTCAGATCAGCAAATCCTTCATATTTCATAGTTAGTTCATACACAGATTCAACATCATTCTTCCTGTCAACATACGAAGTCCCACAGGGTCCGCTGGAGGGACGGCATGAGAAATGAAAAGACTCAAAACTGAAGCTCAGCAAAATCCTGCTCTGTATCTCTGCTGGGTGATTAATGGAGATGTGAACGAGTCCAAAACATGTCCTCAGATACAAATAAACACAAACAAAGATTGGCTCCAAAACACCAAACAGATCATTGCAGCATTACCCATAATCCCCTCTGTTTCAGCCCCGTTTCCAAAGTGCTGATTCTCTGTCTGTTACTTTAGATGAAAATAAGGAGCCCCTCCCCACGCCCCTCTGAGAGAGATTTGGTTACAAAGAACTCAATGGTGCTCTAGGAGGAGGTTCAGGTGATAAGGTGTGTGTGTGGGGGGGGGGTTACCTTGGTTGCTGATTGGCTAATGGTTACACAAGACAAAACATCGTTATGACATCATAAAGTGGCCAAAATCTGATCAGCTCATTTTCAGACAGGTTTTTATAGAAATGGATCAAAAAGAGAGAGAATCTTTGTTCCTGAAACTTTCAGAGTCTCTTTCCACAGAGGGGACACATGTTGATGTAGAAGAGACATGAAGAAGAGGGGACACATGTTGATGTAGAAGAGACATGAGGAAGAGGGGACACATGTTGATGTAGAAGAGACATGAAGAAGAGGGGACACATGTTGATGTAGAAGAGACATGAAGAAGAGGGGACACATGTTGATGTAGAAGAGACATGAAGAAGAGGGGACACATGTTGATGTAGAAGAGACATGAAGAAGAGGGGACACATGTTGATGTAGAAGAGACATGAAGAAGAGGGGGACACATGTTGATGTAGAAGAGACATGAAGAAGAGGGGACACATGTTGATGTAGAAGAGACATGAAGAAGAGGGGACACATGTTGATGTAGAAGAGACACGAAGAAGAGGGGACACATGTTGATGTAGAAGAGACATGAAGAAGAGGGGACACATGTTGATGTAGAAGAGACACGAAGAAGAGGGGACACATGTTGATGTAGAAGAGACATGGAGAAGAGGGGACACATGTTGATGTAGAAGAGACATGAAGAAGAGGGGACACATGTTGATGTAGAAGAGACATGAGAAGAGGGGACACATGTTGATGTAGAAGAGACATGAAGAAGAGGGGGACACATGTTGATGTAGAAGAGACATGAAGAAGAGGGGACACATGTTGATGTAGAAGAGACACGAAGAAGAGGGGGGACACATGTTGATGTAGAAGAGACATGAAGAAGAGGGGACACATGTTGATGTAGAAGAGACCTGGAGAAGAGGGGACACATGTTGATGTAGAAGAGACACGAAGAAGAGGGACACATGTTGATGTAGAAGAGACATGAAGAAGAGGGGACACATGTTGATGTAGAAGAGACATGGAGAAGAGGGGACACATGTTGATGTAGAAGAGACATGAAGAAGAGGGGACACATGTTGATGTAGAAGAGACATGAAGAAGAGGGGACACATGTTGATGTAGAAGAGACATGAAGAAGAGGGGACACATGTTGATGTAGAAGAGACATGAAGAAGAGGGGACACATGTTGATGTAGAAGAGACATGAAGAAGAGGGGACACATGTTGATGTAGAAGAGACATGGAGAAGAGGGGACACATGTTGATGTAGAAGAGACATGAAGAAGAGGGGACACATGTTGATGTAGAAGAGACATGGAGAAGAGGGGGACACATGTTGATGTAGAAGAGACATGAAGAAGAGGGGACACATGTTGATGTAGAAGAGACATGAAGAAGAGGGGACACATGTTGATGAAGAAGAGACACGAAGAAGAGGGGACACATGTTGATGTAGAAGAGACACGGAGAAGAGGGGACACATGTTGATGTAGAAGAGACATGAAGAAGAGGGGACACATGTTGATGAAGAAGAGACATGGAGAAGAGGGGACACATGTTGATGAAGAAGAGACATGAAGAAGAGGGGACACATGTTGATGTAGAAGAGACATGGAGAAGAGGGGACACATGTTGATGTAGAAGAGACATGGAGAAGAGGGGACACATGTTGATGAAGAAGAGACATGAAGAAGAGGGGACACATGTTGATGTAGAAGAGACATGGAGAAGAGGGGACACATGTTGATGTAGAAGAGACATGAAGAAGAGGGGACACATGTTGATGTAGAAGAGACATGAAGAAGAGGGGACACATGTTGATGTAGAAGAGACATGGAGAAGAGGGGACACATGTTGATGTAGAAGAGACATGAAGAAGAGGGGACACATGTTGATGTAGAAGAGACATGAAGAAGAGGGGGACACATGTTGATGTAGAAGAGACATGAAGAAGAGGGGACACATGTTGATGAAGAAGAGACATGAAGAAGAGGGGACACATGTTGATGTAGAAGAGACACGAAGAAGAGGGGACACATGTTGATGTAGAAGAGACATGGAGAAGAGGGGACACATGTTGATGTAGAAGAGACATGAAGAAGAGGGGACACATGTTGATGAAGAAGAGACATGGAGAAGAGGGGACACATGTTGATGAAGAAGAGACATGAAGAAGAGGGGACACATGTTGATGTAGAAGAGACATGGAGAAGAGGGGACACATGTTGATGTAGAAGAGACATGGAGAAGAGGGGACACATGTTGATGAAGAAGAGACATGAAGAAGAGGGGACACATGTTGATGTAGAAGAGACATGGAGAAGAGGGGACACATGTTGATGTAGAAGAGACATGGAGAAGAGGGGACACATGTTGATGTGGAAGAGACACGAAGAAGAGGGGACACATGTTGATGTGGAAGAGACATGAAGAAGAGGGGACACATGTTGATGTAGAAGAGACATGGAGAAGAGGGGACACATGTTGATGTAGAAGAGACACGAAGAAGAGGGGACACATGTTGATGTAGAAGAGACATGAAGAAGAGGGGACACATGTTGATGTAGAAGAGACATGAAGAAGAGGGGACACATGTTGATGTAGAAGAGACATGAAGAAGAGGGGACACATGTTGATGTAGAAGAGACATGAAGAAGAGGGGACACATGTTGATGAAGAAGAGACATGAAGAAGAGGGGACACATGTTGATGAAGAAGAGACATGAAGAAGAGGGGACACATGTTGATGTAGAAGAGACACGAAGAAGAGGGGACACATGTTGATGTAGAAGAGACATGAAGAAGAGGGGACACATGTTGATGTAGAAGAGACATGAAGAAGAGGGGACACATGTTGATGAAGAAGAGACATGGAGAAGAGGGGACACATGTTGATGTAGAAGAGACATGAAGAAGAGGGGACACATGTTGATGTAGAAGAGACATGGAAACAGTGGATTTTGCATAATAGGTGACCTTTAAAACAAGAACATATACTTTGTGACGCAGGTGTTTTATGCTTTCTATGACTTCTGTGAATAAAGTCCAATATTACCTTTGGAGCTACAGCCAATAGATTCATACTATACTGATTTACAGTATTTCACGTTAATTAAGGGAACAGTAAAAACGACTAACGGAACCTAAATAGCTGTCCTCTTTACCCATGTAATGCCTCAACACTTCACATCACTTACGGCCCCTACACACGGCGGCGTGCGTTGAAGCTTCAACGCTTCTGCCCATTCACTTTGAATGGGGTGACGTCACGCTTTGCCGAACTGCATTGTGGGAGCAAAACTTTGCGTTGCTCACTTCAAAAGTAGAGCAATGTTCTACTTTTGAAGCTTCGACGGAAGCGTCAGCCAATCAAATCCCGTTTATGCAAATCTGCCAGTACAAGCGCTAGCCAATCAAACCGCGTGTATGCTGGGAGAGCCATACCGCAGGTCATGTTCCAAAACATGGAGGACAAAATCATTGTAGCGGTAGTGAATCACCCGGTGCTGTATGATCAGTCTCTCTTCACCTACCGGGATACAAACCGGAGGAGCCAGGCATGGAGGGAGGGGGCAGAGTTTTTGCCTGTTTGGGGAGTTTATATCCAGTGTACTTCGTTTGAATGGACAGCTAGCAGGCATAGACAGTATATTTAGCCAGCATGGAATGTTGCATAAAATATCACCATAGACATTGATGTCATAAATGTTCATCATATAAAGTGTGACATGTAATTATATAATAACATGAGATTCATGCGATTGGTCGAGTTGGTCTCGTTAACTCCCCAAGCTTCAGACACGCCCACGCCAAGCTTCAACGCACGGCGCCGTGTGTAGGGGCCGTTACTGGAAATGCATCAAAGAACTGCTAGAGAAGTCAAAGAGACGTTGAAAAAAAAAAGACAAGGATGCAGAGACAGAAAGACAGACGTGTGTCCTTACTGTTGAAGACCATATTGTTGTCTTTGAAGTCCTTCCACTGCTGGAACCATTTAGAGTCTTTGTGCAGCACCACACCCATCGCGTCTCTGAAGGATGAACACACAAAGTAAAGATTTACAAGGGTTACCGTTTAATCACTGTGGACACATTTAAAAAATATTAACACGGAAAGCAAAACATAGCAGTATTTACAGCGAGGATATTTAACTCATAATAAAGCAGGGATGCACAATGGACTAGAGCAATCTCAAAAATAGCAGGAAATGCAATATTTAAGGCAAGATATGTGTCCAAATACCATTCTGAATAATGTTTTGTGTTGGGATGGATATCAAAGACTAATAATTGTATTTTACAGAATACAAAAAAAAATCGAAATCTTTAAAAGATATTCTTTTAAATATATAAAGATATTTTTCTAGTCCCATCGTGAAAAGAAAATTGGGAATACTATTCATATTCAGCTCTGAGAGTTGTAACCCCGATTCCAAAACACAGCATGACATCCCTACAGTTTTATTTCTGGAAAACCAGATAGGACAACAGTTTGCTTATCTCTGCATACTGTGATGTTTCCAGATAACATGTCCTGTATTTTTAATTATGATTAGACTTCATGAGGCCATCTAAGTGTTATCAGGTGTCTCTGAGAGGCGTTCCCCTCCCAGTATGGGGGGGGCAGAGGGCACTCACGTACTCGTTGGCTTCGAACACTTTGCCCTCCTCTCCTGCCCCTTTGGAGGAAAACTCGCTCCTCTTCCTCAGTCTGGCAGGAGGCCGATAAGAGCCGGTGTGTCCGAGGTCATCGATCTCCCTCTTCACGCTCTCCATGCCCTGAAGAGAGAACACAGACAGACCAGAAAACAAATACGTTTAGTAACCTAGCCTATCATTTTCTTTTCATATATTTTGTTTTGACATTTGGCAGCAAACCATTACACAGCGTTTTTTGAAGACGTAGTAATCGTACATCTTAAGTCTGTCCGAAATGCCTTTTTCTTTTTTTACACAAAGATCAAATAAAAAGTTCGAACAAAACAAACATTAGGGAGTGATCAGGACTTCACAGTAAAATCATACATTTGTAAAAATAAAATCTGGCCTATGAGGTTTTACGAAATCAGTCCACTTTCTCCATCGTGACACAAGTAGTTCCAGTTTGTGATTGACAGATGATGTTATCCTCTCCATGTTGTAAATGTCCATTCTAATATCCATCCATGCCTTTAAAGTTGGGCTATCTGGTGATTGGCCTATCATTTTCAATGTACAACATGACATTGGATCAGTTTGTTTTGGCAGTCAAGACTCACCTCCAAACTAGACCCTTCACAGTCCTACCTTACTTAAAGGTCCCATGTCATGTTTTTCCGGTTATCACCCGTCCCCTTGTGTGTTATGAAGGTTTTTCTGCATGTAAACGGTCTGCAGAGTCACAAACCCTCAAAGTACACCCTGTAGGGAGTAAAACTCTAACACAGAGAAGACCTGTCTATGCTGCCCCAGAACGCCTCGTTGGACATTTATCTTTTTCTTCCTGGGTATAGTGACGTAACGTAACGTAAAAATACAGGACATGAAACCAAGCTGGAAACCGTTGTCTGAACTGCTGGAAACATCACAGTATGCAGAGATAAGCAAACTGTTGTCCTATCTGGTTTTCCAGAAATAAAACTGTAGGGATGTCATGCTGTGTTTTGTTACGTTACGTTACGTCCGCGGAGCCGTTACTTCCTCACACACATACACTCAATCTTTTCTCAGCTGCAGCTCCGCCGATTTCTCAGCCTGAGACGGCGGGACGCGGCGAGGCTGTGAGTGTGTGTGTGAGCACACACACAAACTCCAAGCCAGGCTGCGGGTGTGTGTGTGTGTTCGGGCCGTGTCTCGCTGTCTCGCAGACGGCCACTGGGCTCACAGGGAGGGGGGGGGCAGGAGCTCCAACAAGCCGTTTAGGACAGAGAGTGAATACACATACTATACAGAGATGCTGTATGAGAAACCAATGTGAGTTTGGAAAATTGCACAATGTAAATGTATTCTAGTCGACCTCAACAATGGAAATATGATCAGTAGAAAAGACCATGACATGGGACCTTTAAAAAAACTCAAGGTTCTCTATGAATATATAAAGAAATGTTTTTGCACCATAGTAACAACAGTGACTCCTGTATTGGAAATAATGTTTATCAAGTGAACAGAAAGCTATAATGCAATATGAATATATAAGTATATTGTGAAAGCGTTACATACCTGTGATATTGCTCTGAAGGCACCGGTCTTCCCCAACATCTCTCCACCTTTAGAGACAGACTCCGCTGAGGTCTTCGCTGATTTGGCTGCTTCCTCTATTCCATCCTTGATTTTCTTTCCAATGTCCGTACGACTCACCTCCTCAAGCCCCTGTTCTCTCACACACACACACACACACACACACACACACACACACACACACACACACACACACACACACACACACACACACACACACACACACACACACACACACACACACACACACACACACACACACACACACACACACACACACATTGTTAGGGTGGATAGATTTGAATAGCATGTCCATGAGGATTAAAAGACAGACAGCATCACATTGAAACACGTTACCTCTTTAACGCTCTCAGAGATGTTTCCCAGCTTCTTCCTGAGGACATCGGAGGTCTTCACTGTTTCAGACTCTATCGTTTTCTGGAGGAAAGACATTGCGTTGGCAAACCAAACACACATTTTCATAATAAAAAGGATAGAAATGGTGTGTGTAGCAAAATACTTACAAATTTCCTTCGAGCTTGTTTCAATGCTTCTGACTCCTCCAGCTTTTGGGCCTCTTCTCTGAACTTCTTGATGTTGTCTTTCATTTCTTTGTTTTTGTTTAGCTCTTGCTTTATGTTGTCCAGTAACTCCCCCATGAAACCCTTTCTGCCCCCGCCTCTGCCCCCGCTTCTCTCCCCTGACATATACCTGACCTGCAGGGAGGCGGACGGCGGCACCTTGTGGGAAAGAATCAGAAACAACACATTATTAATGTACTCCAGTCGGCGTGGGGCAGTTAAATTAATCTCAAGCTCCTGATCAAAAGGGGACGTTTGAAGGTGAAGGTTGAAATGTTTAGTTGATGCAACTTTATGATATTTTTAGAAGGTGTAGTTTGTGAGGCTGTATATTAGGGTAGCCTTTAGGGTAGGCTAAATAACCGAAATATCTCAATAGTGCAACAAAATAAAAAAGTACATATTCCAAAACTACTCTTAAGTTAATTTAGCAATGGCGTATAGGACACATCAGTTGTTGCTAAAGTAGGCGCTTGTTCAGCAATAGTTTCCATAAAATAAAAAATATTGTTAAGTCTACCTTCCTTATTTATAAATAAATTCTACCTTTAAATGGAATTAAATCATTGTGAAATCATAAATGCAGATATCTTGATAAATGTATTTTAACAAGCAGTTAAATAGTGTTGGTATATATTGTAAGCAGTTTTCTTCCAACAGCTGTGTGCAGTATTTTTCTTCAATTACTCAGGTTAATTCTTAAAACTATCACTCAAGTCCTCACTGTTCATGCATGCATGTCTGGTGCCTTGCTCAAGGGCACCACAGCAGGGCAGGAGGTGAACTGGGACCTCTCCAAGTAGCAGTCCACACTCCATATTTAGGTCTGGTCGGGGACTTGAACCGGCGACCCTACGGCTCGCAGTCCGAGCCCCAACTGACTGAGCCACTGCCGGAATAACATGGTTAATGAGACATCAAATGAAATACAATGACGTTTATCAGGATACATTCTGGCTATATCATTTGTTATTGTCATTTTCTGTCACTCAAGCACTTTGGGCTGCGTCAAGCATGAAAGGTGCTATATAAATCAAGTTTAACATTATTATAATTATGATATCTCCCAGACCTAATTTGAAGGAATCTCTTCATAGTAAAAAGGCATGTAGTAAAGGTACAGCTTTATAATATCCAGACATAATTAAACATGAAAATAAGACAGGGGTTGTACCTGTGAAGAGCATGCGAGGAGCCCATGTGTCCTGTAGACAGCGGCTCTGTTGTGAAGGAGAAGGTAGGAGGAAGGGAAAGAAACAAAGCCTCTTCTCACACATATCTGCACACAAACACACAGACACACACGTATCTTATTAAACTACGCAGAAACTCACGATCACCCTACAGACCTGCACATTTAAGTTATGAACAAAGGCTTTAAATCTTGTGATATTAAGCCAAAACGTCATGATGGAAAGCCAGAAAATGCAGCTAGCAATGCATGACTTTACTTCGAAAATATTTGATTCAAACACCGAATGGACACCTGACAATTCAAAGAGCTAACTTAGCTAATGCTACGGTAGCACCCTGAATGACTTTAACTTTAAATACAAGTCCAACACTTAACAAGGTTAAACTGGCAGTTCACATGTGCAATTCAAGTTCTTCCCTTATCATTTCGTGGGGTTGAAAGGCTGATATTAACAAAACGTCCACAGAACTCACCTGGTAACACTGACACAAGGGGGTCGCCATCTTGAATGTTAATGCTCGTGACCTTCTTCCGGAAGTGACCTTCCGGTTCCTTTTTACCTTGTATTTTTATTAGACTACACTAGATAGGTATTTATTTCAGGTAATATAAAACTATATTTAGACATTAACAATCTTTATGAAGCAAGTGTACACTAAACATATTTCAAATGTTTTTTTTTAAATGGAATTAAATATGAATCAATTAAACTTCTATTTTATATGTTGCATTCCTTATCTGCAAGGAGGTATCTTGAGAGCTTATAAGATATATCTCCAAGCCCTTTTTACCCTAATATAAATTGCTTAAACTGTCAGGAAATAATTACATACATTTAAAGTCAACCAAATTATAACTTTATGTGTTTACACGACAAACCCAGAATAGAAAATGTCAATCAAAGAAAACTTGATAGTCTCTGGAAAGTCCACGTAACTGACAGGCAATGCAATTCGAACAAAGTATTTCAAACACCAAGGTTTATTTATCAAAACACCTTATAGAACAAAGGCAATGACAGGTGAAGCATCACAGAAAAGAAAATGTTAAAATTTGGTCTCTAAAAAAAAAAAATCAAGTACATTTTAGCAAAAACTAAAACACTTTCACAACTAACAACTAAAAAAAACATTTGTCACCCTTACAAATATCTAAGTGGATATGATATGAAAATGCTGATGGGAAAATCAGATCATAAAGGGCATTTGGACACGAGGAACTAGATGAATGGAAGACGCAACAGACAGATCGTTTATGCATTTCTATCGATTCTAACATCGATTTCTCTGCCGTTCAGCCGGTAGCCGTTCATGGTCCTGCAGACGCGCTCGGCAGTTTCTGGGGTGTCGAAGCGAACCACGCCGCAGCCCTTAGACTTGCCGTTCTCCATCTTGATATCAGCATACTGAACCATGCCTGCATATGGAAGAGAGAGAACTAGTTAGAAGTCATCTTAAAAAAAGCTTACATCAATATAATATTTGCAATCGAGGAGTATTCTTACCACATGTGTTGAAGGTATCCTTCAGCATCTTCCAGTTGAAGTCGAAGGGCAGCTGAAGAACAAAAAAACAAATTGATATTAAAAAATCTGACGCAAGATGCTCAAGTATATTTCGATTCTATTTTATTTGTATTACTTGCACTATTTTATCCGTTTTATTATGTTGCACCGCTGGAGGAGCCTGTGACCTAAGATTTTCATTGATACATCTACACTGTAGCTATGTACACATGACAATAAAAGCCTTGAATCTTAAAAAAATAAGTGAATTAACAGTTCATTAAAATCGAGTTTATTGCCAGGTGCTTTTACACAAACATAAGAAAATAAGTTGTAAGAAAAGGTCAGATGAAGACTTACATTTCTGACAAAGATCTGGCATCCCTTCCTGATGTTGTTGTTGTTGTTGTTGCCGCCGCCTCCACCACCAGCTCCAGGACCTCCAGCTCCTCCGAAGGAGTTCCCTGCGAACCCACGCTCCACGTCTGCAGAGCGGTCAAACTGCCCGCCGACGCTGCCGGACCCCATGCGGTCCATGCCGCCGGAGTTCATGCGGTCCATCCCGCCGGAGGGGAAGCGGTCGATTCCTCCAGTGGAGCCGATGCGGTCGAAGCTGGTGGGCATTCTGTCGATGCCGGTGTTGCTCATGCGATCCATTCCCATCGGGGAGCTGAAGTCCAGGCCAGAACCCATGCGATCCAATCCGGAGGGGCCAAGGCGGTCAAATCCAGCCGGGCCCAGGCGGTCCATGCTGGAACTCATGCGGTCCAGGCCGGGTCCGAGCCGGTCCATACTGGGTCCCAGACGATCCATCCCTGAGCCCATGCGGTCGAACCCAGAGCCGATCCTCTCCAGGTCAGACCCGCGCTCCATCCTGTCCATTCCTCCCATGCGCTCCATGCCGCCTCCCATGCGCTCCATGCCGCCTCCCATGCGGTCCATACCAGAACTCATGCGGTCCATACCCTGGGAGTTTCCTTTTAAAAAGAGACCAAAAATGGGAAAAACAGTTCAAATCTACTGTCTGAGCCGAGCATTACACCTGATGATCAGAGGAGCTAGAGGGAATATTTAACAAGATCCTAAAAATAAATACTGACCCATTCCTCTTTCAAACGACTCTCCAAAATTATTGCGAGACATTCCCATATCATTCCGCCCAAACTCCCTCTCAAAAGCACCACCAATCCCACGCTCCATCTCTGACAATGCAAGAGATGAAACCATTAGAAACGACCAGAAAACCGCGAAATAGTTCCACGCTGGTTTGAGAGGGATTAACGCATCCCCTTACCGTTAGCCCGGCCCATCCCGGAAGAACCGAAACGCTCCATGTTGTTCATTCCTCCAAAGTTGTCCATTCCTGGAACAGATGGGAAGTCTTAATGCCAAACGGCAGAAAAACAACGAAAACGATGAAAAGCTGATGCCTTAATGATATACGAGTATGGGAGCTTAAAACAAAAATTATGAATTATACATTTTTCCAAGCTGCTGTAATAATGATGTTAGAGAACATCTTGTTCATGTATCTGAGTACAATTATTTCAGGGGCTTCAATTAAACTATGAATTGTTCTTCAATTATATAAAAAGGTAGCGGTAGTATTGAAAACAATATAGCCCACTCTACTAAAAAATCTTCAGGACATACCTCCCCCACCACTGCCGCCTCCCATACGACCGCCCATGTTGCCAAAGCCCATTCCATCCATTCCTACAAGTGACAAGAGTGATGATTAGCTACTAATTCCAAGGGTATCTTTTATTCAAGGGTTTAACAAAATAAATACGACAGCTAGTTACCTCCAGGGCCCATGTTGCCCATTCCTCCGCCACCTCCTCCTCCTCCTCCTCCTCCTCTATTCAGTTGGGTCGCATCAATGGGCTGGCCATTAGGTCCCAGACCCAGGCCAATGCCACTCAGGCCACCTGGGCAGAGAAAATGCATGTCATTACATTTTTCGCGGAACTAAGGGGATCCAAATGTAGATGTGTAAAATAAACGGCAGAGGTTGGACCACTGTGAAAGGTCATGTGATCACATGTCAACTTTCTAGATAGAAATGTTGCATCGTTTTTTTGTTGATCAAAAATATCAGAATACGGAGCTTTAGCCATCACTCTTTTGTCTGTGTCATGTGATCATTCCCCTCATTGAACAAACAAATGTAATATGTGGCAGAACCAAGGACACTTTTGGGTGTATTGTTAGCACACTTATAACAATATTAATTAACGTACAATATGAAACCCTTGCTAAACTAACCCAGTAAGTATCTCAGGATATGTTTGTGAGGTTAGTTATTTCGACAAGGTGTATTTACTCGATACAAAGCTATATCACAGGTGAAAGTACTTATTAAACTTTCAAGGACAACACGTTTTTAATACTCAACCATTCTATCCTCCATTTAAAACAATGTCTTTATGTTTTTTATCTTAGTGAAGAAAACTATGTTTCTACTTACGGGGAAGAGCAGAAGAAGCTCTCTCAGGTGGTCCAAAATCTTTGGGCAGGGATTTCTCATCCTGACAAAAGCATACAGACAGATTTAGGCTTTATACTTCAATCATAGATAGATATATACTTTCCCAAATTGGGAACTCTTTAATGTGCTTCAATCAAAGTAGATTAGGGGTTCAGGAACATACCAGTTTGACGTGCATCAGTCTGTTGAATAAAAGCTGTCCATTGAACATGGCTGTGATATCATTAAGGAAAAGCCCACCAGACCTTTTGCCACAACGTGATTCTAATGAATAAACATTTCATGCATACACACAGAGATCACAATCCAACATTTTTAGAAAGGATACAGACAGCTTGGACTGCTTCAATGGGCATATCGAATGTGACTGTGCCCATGCCCCTGCTTTTCCCATCCTTGTCCTCCAGGATGTCGGCCCTCACCACGATGCCTGCCATGCTGAAAACCTCCTTCAGCTTCTTCCAGCCCACTTTGTAGTCCAGCTGCAGGGACAAAGGACCATTTAAGAGCGAGTTTTCTTGAAGGCTTCAGTAGAAGCTGCTGGGCTACTGAAGCCTTCAGAGTAAATCGCCAGAACACCGACACCTCCTCATCACTCCCATGTTTTCTTTTGTGTTGCCATAAGTTAGTCTCTCTCCGTTTGTGCGCTGGGCTAATGTTAATGCTAATAATGCGAAGAAAATCAAATGGCGGCTTCAAAAACCTTTTGGGAGCTCTAGCAGGGACTGAAAAGGTTCTCATGAACTAAGTTCCGGATTTTTTTGGTGTGAACGCACATTTTCGGAACTATATCGGAATTATACTGGGAAAAGTACTCCGGTGTGAAAGCGCCTAAGGATGAAAATACAAGGTTTCTCTTCTCGTAATGACGCATCAAAATATTATGTTTATTTTTGGGAAAACTCACATTAGCCACAAAGACAGTGCTGCCAATCCTGCCGGCCTGGAGACCGTGGATGACCTCGTTGGGGATGTTGGGGTTGTTCATCAGGCTAGGAGGAATGTTAACGTTGCCATTTCCTGGTCCTGGGCCCATTCGCTCCATGTTAATGCGATCCATTCCCCCCATTACTCCCATGCCTCCCATGTTGCCCATTCCCCCCATTCCACCATGGCCTCCTGGATGTCCTCCACCTTGAGTCTTGTTGATTTCTCTCTGAGCAATCACACCATCAGGGTCCTACAAATAAAGCAAGAAAATATCAAAGGTTGTAGAAATCTGCAGCTGCCATTTGGATTTGTTTTTCTTGCTTTGACATACTTCTTTCACTTTAAGGGGACGTCCATTGAGATTGTGCTTGTTGACTTTGTCCACGGCTTTCTTCATCAGCTCTTCGGTCCTGAACTCAACAACACTGGAAGGAAAGTAGAGTACATCCCGTCAGAAAAATCTGTAAACTCCTAGAACTTTATTTCTGATTTGTCAATTTAAATCGGATTGTAAAAACATCCATTTTGTTAATCTGAGAAGCACAAACGAACAATTTCAATTAAATACATAAATGGATGGATTACTTACGCGCAACCCTTTTTGATCCAAGACATAGGGACAGGACGCACCCAAAGGAGTAAAGAATGCAAATTAGCAAAGGCAATGGTTGAATAAAATAAATGTTTTGAAAAATAAAGAATTTCATGCACAATAAAAAGTACATCACACAGGCTTACCGTCTTGGCCACAAATCTGTACCATCAAATACATTTTTAAGACTTCACATTTTACACAATACAAACAAGTCTGTTGAATATATAACAATATTTTTCCAACTTCCAAAGGACCGGAAATCCACAGGATTCCCTACGACTAAGATAATGGAGGGAACGATTCCAGAAAGCAGTTCTAGTTTTATTTAACAACCCTGTAACAGCCTTGTAACAACCTCTTCCAGACTAGACTCCTTTAGTTCATGAGGAGCAAATCCAGCAACCAAAGGGATACTGCAATACCACAGGATTGGCTACAAAGAAAGCTGAAGTCCTTTTATAGGAGCATTAACCCTCGGGATGACCTCAAGTCATCGAGTGCCACAGACGACACCGGATAAAACACGCCTGCGGGACGTCAACATCTCACACACTCCACCAGGTTTCTGAAGCTTAACCATTCCCAACAATGAATACAAAGACACCAAAAGGTGACAAACACAGGTTTGTCTAGGATTATTCATGTTTTTATTTGTATGTATTTGCACTTACCCTCGATTTGCCTTCTGTGTCCATTAAGTGTTCCACGTACGTTACCTCACCCACTACAAATCAGATTCCAGAGACGACACACACCAAGGGGAGAGAAGCCGAGAGAACAATGGGGGTTTAGAGCGGAAACACAAGTAGGACGGCTGGTCACAGTGAGCTCAGACGGCCAGTCCTGCGCCTTTCCCCAGCACCTCAGCAGCAGCACAATATGGTACAGGTCTACAAAAGGCAAGCTTGGTTCTTTTCAAAAAAGTGAAGACTTCTTAGCCTGTCCTTGTTGGAATTCTCCTGAAGCACAAGAAGCAATAGACTGAGGACAACAACAGTTGAAATGGCCATCAGCCTTCCTATTTGGATGTAATGCCGCGAACACCACCTTCTACCTAAGATAATTGACCCACTAATTTCAAGTAGGCAACACCTTTTCAATGTCTCCGTCCATTTCATTGCAAACCTGTGCGTACTTTGTCAAATGTCGCCATTTTAAAAACATCAGGTACAATGCATCTTTACAGTCGCCCATCAACTGAGGTCAAAGAGGAACATAAAGCTAGAAAACTAACCATAATCTTAACGAAGGTAAGCTCTTAGGGGAAATTGGTCCTTTTCCTTAAACGCACAATATCAGAATTTTGTTTTGGCGTCGCCCAGTGACGCCTTCTTTCCAGATCTCAGGTCTGTTCAACAAATGGACATCAGTGATCAAACCTCTAGAGACAAGGACAGTGCATAAGAAGTTGCTTCATTTTGTAGACCTGTACCCCAAAGAAATCCCCAACGCATGGCCGTGTTTGGCACAACATCGAGGTCTGCTGAGAAAACATTTGCTTGTCAAGGTCATACCTAAAAGAGAAAATGCAATTTAACTCCACAGTCAGTTGTCACAGAACGAATACCAGGCACTCCTTCTGAAAAAGGGTTGTGCCTTGTACACACATGCTTTAACTTCAAGTAAATGCATATTTATGCATTACTTAAAATACATATTCCACTTTCCAATACCCCATAACTACAAGTACTTGAGAAATGAGTAACAGCACATGTAATCCATGTTCTCAGAGAACTTGAAATTGACTGCATCCAAAATATTATTGTTTTACTTGGCTCCATTTTTTAAAACTTGTTTATAAAACATGAGCTCAGACTTTCACAGTTGATAACATGTCGCAACAGAGCAAATACATTTAGACACAGAAATGTTCTTTCATGGATTTCTGTGAGAACTCTCAATATTCCACTTATGATCCCAACTATTCAATTTCCACGGTAATGGACCGGATTGACACATTACAACTCACTTCACAAAGATCACAAAAGGTTTTAGTAATCTCTGGAGAGATTAAATGTTCAGTCAAACATCCAGGTTTGCAGCTCTTGTGCAAGTCTGCAGCAACTCCTAATTGACGGACAAATGAGGGGAACCTCGTCCAAAACCTTGGTTCCAGATAACTCTTCACAAGATCTCACACCGCATTGTACAACTTAAAGGTTCTGCACAAAATCCCCCAAAAAACCTCAAAGCTGCAGTGGTCAAACGAAATTGATCCTGGATGCTGCCTCTTTAATTATGTCCAAATGGACAGAGTCCACCCCTTATCTAAACACCTTACCTTTCTCTTTCATCAAGTCTTTGAGGGCCTGCCATTTGACGTCGTATGGGATGTTGCTGACGAAAACCCTGTATCGCTTGTTCACGTTTCCATAGGGTTCGAAGCGACCACCTCCACCTCTCTTCTGGGGTCTCTCCTTCCTGCCTGAATTGAGCTCAAGCTTGATTTTTCCATTCACTTCGCTGTATAAAGAGGACAGTAAGATAGTGAGTAAAACAAGCTTTTATACCTGAAAGGTACAGAATTGAGCATGATCAGATTATGGGAGTGAATTCACAAATGAAGGACATAAAAGGGATAAGTACAATATCTGCAGACATAGGTTCTGGTACATGTTTTTTTAAACAGTTTCAAATAAAATGTAAACTACGCGCCACCATTTTGACTTTTGCTGAAAATGAGGCCACTGGTGTTACCAAATCTAACCAATAGAGGGCCAAGGGGGATTATCCTCATCCTGATGTAATAATCCTCTTCAAACTTGATTTTAAAAAGAGATGAAGGATAGTGGAAATAAAACCTAACCGGGCAAATAATTGTATTTTTTAAATCCCATTTCACAATTGCCGGAGTTATAATGATAATCTACAATAGTTTTCTACCGGGACAATTCCTTATCAGCCGCATGGCAAGGCCGCTCTTTGACTAAAGTGGTCCTGGCTCTATAACGTTATTTATTTTACGGCGGTTTATCAAAGTTTAAAGAGTTAACAATAGTTTTTCTTTTAAAAACTGAAGTTATTAGCTAGCTGAATAAATGCTAACGCTTAATTACTGCACGTAGAGTTAAATGGAAATAATCTTCTTCCGGTAAATAGACGGGTCCCAAACACGCCTCCAAACAACGTTGTAACACACATAACGACAAAGTGTAAACGTTTTTAAGTGTATCAAAGTTGAATTTGCTCAAAAAGATGCAATCAAAAAGGAATAGTTTTTATTGAATACTGGAAGTATTTGTAGACCTCCCCGTGGATTTTAATCATTGGGGCTAACAAGCTAGCATTAGCTGCTAGGAGCCAACAAAGGACCCTCGATGAATGGAACTAGTTATTATTGAAAACTGGAACTACGACATGCAAAACAAGTTATTAGCAGAGGCCAAAACAAATGCTAACACTGAATTACAGCACATAGTACATGGGAGGAATTTTCCAGTAAATACACGGGTCGTCAACGTGTGCGTTACACACAAGTAATCACAGTTAGGACTTGTTCAAAGTGCCTAAAATGAATTTGCTAATAAATGTGCAAACCAAAAGGGATAGTTCTTATTTAATACTGGAATAAAGACATCCGTGTGTATCTGAATCACTACGGCTCACTATCTAGCATTAGCTGCTAAGAGCCAACAAAGGACCCTGGATGGATGAACCTGGATAAATCCTGGATGAATTAACTCACCCCGGCGGCGGCTGCTGCTGCTCCGGCGGCGGCAGCTGGACTGCTTTCTCGGTCACCGTAATGATCTCGGCCTGCTCGGTGGACATCTTCTTTTTGCAGTTTGGAGTCTTGTCAAATTAAATAATGTAATAGTAGACTATCGTTGTTGATTTTAACGAGTCAATAACGGTTCACCACTGCGACACCAACAACCGAAAATGGCGGAGAAAGAGCAGTTTGGAATTTAAAAAGATGGAATGGAAGCGTCTTCATCCGATTTTTAACTTTCAAAGTAAGAGTCCTTGCAAATCACAATGGGGATTTTCAGAATAAGAGTGCCCAGAAGCCGACAAATGAACATAATAATGTAATTTGTTTGCGTGTATAAGAACATTTTCTTAGTTTGCTGATTGATAATAATGTGTGTCTCCTTTTTCATAATTTCATTTAAAATGATCCTTATCTAGTTTGCTATTAAACAACAATATAAAAGATACAACTATTATGTACACTACTAGCATTACTGAACATTACATCCTTGAACTGAAGCATAATGTGACTCATTTTAAAACATTTATTAGATATGTTAATATTGTATTTGTTTTATATTCATTGATGTGAGAGACAGATAATCAGAATCCTCTATATTGGTCAAGTATGTGTTCAGAATGTAACTTTTTTGTTTGTGTTTCCCTCAAGGTAATCAGATGTAGACATACAGGTGAAACACAGTCAATCAACCCCAAACAGGAAAACAATGACAATGGCTAGCATCACATTTGTAGCTTAGTTTCCTGAACATGTCATTAGAAAAAACTGGACTTAAGCCTCCGTTGTTTTCTCACTGACTTTTCATTTCCGTTTATTACACAACAATTACCACCTCGTTAGTTCCATAACATGATGAGATGGAATCAAACCACAGACCTTCAGTTTGGTAGACATCTATTTACCCCTTAAGCTAAAGCCACCTGTAGGTTTCATCACAATCTACAGTTAGGATTCTGAATTTAAAGATCTAATCTGACAACAGGGCATGTTTGGTTTTTTCTTTGAGGGAAATAGTTTTGTTGAAGCTGTTGTTGGCCTGTGGGAAAATGTAATCATAATAAATCACTCTGGAAAAGCTGTAGATAGAGCCATAAGAAATGAATGCAACTGATTATTTCATGTTTAATGTTGTTTTTATGGGCAATAATTTAGCTTTGTTAGTTCCAGGTTTAATATGTGCAATGAGTTCATTTCAATAAGTTTTGCAATAAACATTGAACCAGTCCGGCCCTCGACTAGTAGCGATTTTTTTATTTTGGCCCACTGTGTATTTGAGTTTGACACCCCTGGTTTAAACAACCCGGTATCACGGCAAGACGTGAACATGTGACGATTTACCATGCTGGGAGACGTGAACATGTCACGGTTTCGTCCCCTTCAAACGTGACAGCTACACGGTATTGTTAACCCATGTTAACCAGTGGAGAAATAACCGGAAATACCAAGCAAATGCTACCCCGACGTAATGATTTATTTTTTAATAGTCACACTCGATTACAGCGATTTTCTTGTTGCCCCAGCTGGTCGACACCTCTTTTAGCAGAAACAAAGGCTACATTAATGTATTAAATCGATGTTAATCCATGCGTGTGGATGTGGAATTAACGGACGTGACGTTGTGCGATTGAGTTGCCAAGCAACAGCTTCGGTTCATGTTAATTTACAAACTATTCAACTACAACCGTAGTTATATTTAAAAACATGTTAGAAGGCCTCACGAAATACTTTAATGCACATTAAAATGTAAATGTGAAGGAATGTGTGTATAACAAAATACATCGGTCATTAAACGAAACCGGAAACAGACGTAGACAAGATCCTCAGCTCGATGATTGGATGGTTATCCGCAATGCATGCTGTGATTTGGTGTTTATGTGATGTGAAATCTGAAAACGTTTTTTAAAAATACAATAATACTTTATTCCGAGTGTGCTTGCTTTACTCTTTGAAAGTCATCACATAAAGGCATTGTAATACACGGTTCGGCTGCATTAAATATGACATATCTGCCGTAGTTCTCTATGTATAGAGCCCTGCTGAGAAGACTTCTGGACAAACAGGAGAACTGCCGCCAAAACTGAAGATGTGACGTGGATCATAAATATATAAGCAATTATACAACATCTTACATTTATTTTTCACACAATGCGTCTCCTTGCAGTATCAACACTAATTCGGCTGACTTTTATATTTGATCCCATTGGTATATAGGCTGTATTTAAACCATAACCGTGCAGAGCTGATAGAAAGGGACACCTGGTGGTCAAAGCACGTTATTGAATTTTATTATTTTATTATTAGATATTAATAGGATCTCTATAAAGTATATTCATTACTCGTTATTCTCTACTAATAGTTCATTAAAGACTGTATATAATGACTAGTTTGAACATCCCTTTCAAGATTTCAAGATTTTATAAGCTAAGGTTCATTATATATTATACACAACTACTGTGTAGTTATGCAATGAATGAAAAACTTGGGTCGCAGGTTCCTCAACAGTGCATTACAAGACATCTATCAATATGTGTGTATACTCCACCATTAAACTGTCATTCTGCACATTTATTATACTATCTACATACATCTTATAAGAGTATAATACATATGTATAATATCAGTTTAATAATAAACAAATAAGTGCTTAAACATAGTTAACATTGCAGGAAAGCAATATATTAGACGTTAAGTACTTTGTCAGGCTTAATATTTATCTGTAGATACAAATGTCACTGTGTGTGCTGTGTGCTCTGCATGTGTGACCATTAAAGAATCAGAATCAGAATGCCTTTATTAGTTCCACAGAGGGGAAATGTGCAGCATTACAGCAGGAAAGAGCCACAGACAGCTTAGTGTTGCATATCTTACATGCGTTAAAAAAGTACTAAGTTAGAATAAAATAAACAATATGCTAAAAAAGTACTAAGTTATAATATAATAAACAATATGCTAAAAAAAGATAAAAAGTTACATAATTTTCAAAATTACAGATCAAAAACAAAACGGCATATATATTGATTTAGTGGCCAGGTATAAATTACACAGTTATTAATGGCATATATATATATTGCACATATAGCACATATTGCACAAAGTTGGTTTGTATTTAGCAGCAAGGGGTGTTATAGTCTGTGTTGTGGTGTGTGTAGGAGGGTCTACTAGGGGCAGTGCTGGTTGTAAAGTCTGACCGCTGCAGGAAGGAAGGACCTGCGGTTTCAAGAGGGTTTCATCCCTCCATATTCTTCTTAAAGCTTTTTTCTTATTCAAAATAAGACCTTAACCTAAAGTACTCTTTAATGTTTAAATTAAGCCTTATTAGTTTGTCTGTTTTGCACATCCTCCTATTAATATCTAATAATAAAATAATACAATTCAATAACGTGCTTTGACCACCAGGTGTCCCTTTCTATCAGCTCTGCACGGTTATGGTGTAAATACAGCCTATATACCAATTGGATCAAATATAAAAGTCAGCCGAATTAGTGTTGATACTGCAAGGAGACGTATTGTGTGAAAATAAATGTAAGATGTTGTTTAATTGCTGATATATTTATGATCCACGTCACATCTTCGTTTTGGCGGCAGTTCTCCTGTTTGTCTAGAAGTCTTCTCAGCAGTGGCCCATTCCAATAGTCCATTGAGCTTAGGAACCTTCCTAACCAAGTGAAATGACCCGGAAGTACGTCACTGGCAGCCATGATAAGTGCCGTTCCAATTCTCCAAATGAAAGGAAAGGAGGTTTCAAACTTCCTTTATAACCTCCTTTAGCTTAGGAACCACTGGACCTCCCTAACCGAAAGGAGAGGAGAAAATGCTGCCCCACAATGCATTGCAGCCGCAGCATTTGCCGTCACTCAACAGTCGGCCGTTCACTATGGAGGACGGAACATGACTTAAGTATAAATAAATAAATGTATGAAGAAATACAGGAATAAATAAATTACGTACATAAATACAGGAATAAATAAATAAATACGTAAATAAATAAATAAATACAGGAATAAATAAATGACGAAATAAATACAGAAATAAATAAATGTTGAAATGAATACACAAATAAATAAATAAAAGAATAAATGCATAAATAAATATGGAAATAAATACATCAATGTATAAATAAATAAATGTCGAAAATAAAACAGAACACACGTTATTATTATATATCTTTCATTTATTTCTACATTTACGCGACATACATTTATTTATTTATGTATTTATGTGTCCGTATGCTAATGAGGTGGGCGGTCCTAACCTCAGTCTGAAGCAGGATTCGCCAATTGTTGGAGCCAGGCAGAAGCAATAGATTTGTGGCAAGTCACATCATGTCGAGCTGAGCCAAGTCCTCTATACATCGTTCCACACGAAACTGGACATAATCTTTTGGTTCTCCGTTCTCTAAATGGTCCGCTAATGATCGTAAATGATCTCCAATGGCTCTTAAATCAATATCCATAAATAAACCTTACAACTGTGGATAAACCATGGATGTATAAAGATAAGGGCTAAACAGTAAAGCTCCTGCATTCGAATCAGCGCGGTTATCCAGGCGTTAGTAGTAGAGCCCTCTGCCAGAAATGATCACACACTCCTGTAACCAATCCTGCTTCAGACTGAGGTTAGGACCGCCCACCTCATTAGCATACGGACACATAAATACATAAATAAATAAATGTATGTTGCGTAAATGTAGAAATAAATGAAAGATATATAATAACGTGTGTTCTGTTTTATTTTCGACTTTTATTTATTTATTTATACATTGATGTATTTATTTCCATATTTATTTATGCATTTATGTATGCATTTATTCTTTTATTTATTTATTTGTGTATTCATTTCAACATTTATTTATTTCTGTATTTATTTCGTCATTTATTTATTCCTGTATTTATTTATTCCTGTATTTATTTATTAATTTACGTATTTATTTATTTATTCCTGTATTTCTTCATACATTTATTTATTTATACTTAAGTCATGTTCCGTCCTCCATAGTTCACGGACACAAACGATAATGGGAGAAATTATATCATGAAAGTTACGGTGCTTATTACGCATTTTAAACCCTATGTGGTAAGTTACCAAAGTGCTTTGTTTTGAACGTTCATCAGTATTATAATCAAAAAGAGAAATATGAACGTTAGTTTTTACTGAAATGATCAAATAAAGTCAACATTTCACAGTCTTTACTGAGCTGTGTGGGGTTTGTTCAACTTTTAAAAGATGTTTGAATG